AGAGAGAGAGAGAGAGAGAGAGAGAGAGAGAGAGAGAGAGAGAGAGAGAGAGAGAGAGAGACAGAGAGACGATAACTCTCCGACCTCGCGGCTCGCGCCATGCTACTTCCATTGATAGGATGAGCAACATCCAATGAATCTTCGGCTAGAACATGGAAACATACACTACCTGGTTGAATCTTCGGCTAGAACATGGAAATATACAGTATCTGGTTGAATATGGCCAACGAATCGATCCAAGTACTCTCTCTCTCTCTCTCTCTCTCTCCCTCTCTCTCTCTCTCTCGCATCGATCCAAGTACTCTCTCTCTCTCTCTCTCTCTCTCTCTCTCTCATGCCGCCCGCAAATCGCCAAGCCCAGCACAGGCAGCGGGCAAAAAAGCATCGAGCCACGCAGGGAAAAAAAGAGGGGAGCGCTGTATCTTCCGGACCTTGCGCTGCACATTCGGATCCGCCGCAGGCCGCCACGGGAAAAAAAAAAAGCAAGCGCTGTATCTTCCCGGCCTTGCCATGCGGGTTCCGATCCGCCAAACGCCGCCTCACGGGCTGAAAAAAAAATAGATCGCTCCGCCAAACGCCGCCTCACGGGCTGACAAAAAAATAGATCGCGCCCTCGGGAAAACCTCCAGTACCGGAGCGGTCCCGAGTGGCGGCGCGCGGTTTCTGTTGGGTCCGTCATGCGAGACCCGCTTCTTGCTTTATAGTATTAGAGAAGAGACTGTGACAGACTGTTTCGTCGGACTTTTCCTGCGAGAAAGGTGGTTGGCTTTACTCACACCAACCATGCAACACTAGCAGAGTGTCAGTCCAAAGTTCCAAGCCCCTGACAACAATGGCAGTAAGTCCAAGAAACTAACATGCCACATCCATAAAACCCACGCTACATAACCCCATTCAGCGAGGGATATCCACCAGCACGAGTGCTTGTACAGTCCTGACCCTAGCTGTATCGGTCTGCCTGAGCAGAGAGCCAGCAAGACTGTAGCCTTGCGTTGTCATGCCCCCTAAAGTCCACAAAATAAACGTAAATGTGCCACTCCGTTTTTTTGCTAGACTTTCGTCAAGTCGTTAGGATTTTTTTTTTGGTGTGTGTGTGTGTGTGTATGTATTGCTGAGTGCTCTGAAGCCAATTGAAGCCAGTCGAAGTTGCAGACTTCCTGTTTTCAGCGATGTCGTTGTGGTGCCAAAGTTGCTGAGACACCCTTTGCCTCCCGCTTCTTTTGCTGTTTTCTCCTCCAATGAATCCCCAAAGTTGTCCTTTCGATCACTTCTGTTGGTAGACTTTAGATCGTTGCCAACTGTCCCTTTTTTAGGGTTTAGGGTTTTATCGAAATCTTTCCGGCTTGTGGTTTCGTAAGCTGGGACTTCATTTGACGTGCATTTGAGCGTGGTCCCTTTGATGTGGACTGAGTTGTACTGTGCAACATTTCCCGCGAATCCTTCTTTCTTTCTTTCCTCTTTTCTTTCTTTTTTGGGTTTTGGTGTTTGGTGCCCGTTACCCGCTTCGCTCCCTCATCTCTCCCCACCACTCCTTAGCGCTGGGATGACCGACCTCTGCCCATCCATCTTGTGGCACTGATGCAGGCTATTTGGCAAAAACCGTTGGCTGCTCCTCCACTATCGTGCAGGGATCGTCTGTACGTGACAGCACATATGGCCTGTTGATGCAAAACGATCACCGGGCTGTCTCTGCCTTTTAAGATGCTGTGAGCTCTTACCACAAGTTACCAGATAAATCATTTGATTATCCATCCAGTCCACCACCGGTTTTGCATTGCGTGTGTGTCTGTGGCAAATGATTAATGAGATATTGTAAACTTACGGAATCTATGGATATGTCGGAGAGATGCACTAATTGTTTAGAACGTGAGGTTGCCAGACTGCCATCATTATCATGGGCAGAATCCAAGGAATGACTTAGACATAATGGGTCTTGCTCCACTGCTGTCTCCAAATATGCAAAATGAGAATGAAATCTTCCGCTAGAACATCGAAGAATGCACCGCCATTTTTCTGTCTTTTGTGGATGCGATGAGTAGTGGAGCGAGGCCCAATGTTTGGTTTCAACTTTCAAGCCAGCAATAACTCGGAAATGACCGTCTAACTTCTGAAAACCATCTCCGTGACAGATTACAATCTCAGGGGGAAAGAGCGTCTACCGAAGCTTGTGAGTGTGAACAGTGTGATTTGAAGTTGATTGACGAGGACAAGTCGGAAACCTTCTCGGTGCATTTCTGGCTAATAAGATCAATTGTAGTATCTGTTGAGATCCGTTGAATATCTGATCCGTTGAAAAAATGACAAACAACAAAGGAAACAAGAAATGCATATGGATGTAGTGGTCATTTGTGATTGCATATGGTTGTATTAGTCCTAAATGACCAGCCTTCACTGGGCCTCTGCGTGCTTACTAGTAAACCCACCCACACTCATTGTCTGCGCTCTCCTGTCTTGGTGAATGTCTGCAGATTCTTATGTCAAAGCTTGTTTTGCACACAAGCTCCCTTTCGCCTGCCAGCCTTGCACAGTTTATCAAGTAAGCTACGCTCTTTTTTTTTCCCCTTTTTTTCCCCCTTCTGCAGTGGACGACGGCCTTGAGGTGGTAGTCTTTTTTTTTTTCTTTTTCTTTTTCTTTTTTCTTCAATGGGCGACGGCCTTGAGATGTCATTGTCGAAGTGACCGGCCCCAGTTAATTCAGAATTTCTTCAATTTCATCGATTTAGTTCCATCTGGATTTGTCCTTCGGGACATGCGTTAAAATTGGAACGATACGGAGAATGAAGATTAGCATGGCCCCTGCACTTTCAAGGATGACACGCATAAATTGAGAAATGGTCCCAAAAAAAAAGAAAAAAAAAGTTACATCAGAATTTTGAACTCTCGGGTGTGTATTTAAGGTTCTTGTCTATGGTTCATTGGGTGTGCCAACTGAGCTGGGCGCATCAGTAATGCGACTTTTTCTGGTTCCATTAAGATTAACATTTTGTTGGAAACGTCTTCCCAGTGCCATCCTCAAGGTGGTGTCAGATGCAGTCCCGAAAGGGAAGGAATGATCGGTATTTGATTCTATTGAAGGCTTGAGGCATAATCACTCGATTAGTTTTGGAGCTGTAAATGGAGAAAGTGAATGTTGTGATGTTCCTTGTATGCATCTTGTCTATTCGCGAAACCTAGGGAGGTGTTTCAGCGAACCTCTGCTGATTAAGCTGTGTGGATTTGTAGCTTTGTGGCTGTAGCTGGTTCTGAAGTCGTTTTTCGTCGTTCTGGCTCATCTGGAGGGCATTCCAAAGCCTTGCTTTTTTTGTTCTGTTTCATCGCGCTTGTTGTTTAAGCATACAGGAAAAGGAAATCGGATAGCAGTGGGTCGCGCCCGAGAAGCTGTGGGCAGAGTGATTGAAGGCGACACGGACAAACCCTGTGAATGCCAATATTAGGATTTGTAGAAGGGGAGCAAATCTGCTCTCAGCTTTTCTTTTCCCAACTTTTTTTTTAACAGGTTGTTTATCTCCTATCATCGTTGCATGCAGATGCATTCTCCCAGGATTTGAGCTCTCGATCTGTCGATCAACAGTCAGTTACATGGGTGTACCACTCATCCACATGGGTTGGGGGTGCTCTTAGCTGGTATGCCTTGCTGTCAATAGTGAAATATGTCCTTATGCGCCTGGCTCCATATCCTTTCTGTGGAGATGCTCTCAGCTATTCTTATGGTGTCCTTGAATCCTTCTGCGAAATCTCTCTTTTGCTGTTTTGTGTTTGGCAGCAACTTTGGCTCCATGTGAGCCCAATTTTGTCGTTGGGTTATTGTGTTCGGTTTCCGTATGCTGACTTGCTTGCGTTTGTGTCGTGCAGAGTGTGCTTGAGCGGTGGCAGTGGAGAATCAAGGGGGTGGAAGAGCCTGGGGAAAGCTCACAGGGAGGCTGCTCGCGACTTCTTCTCGAAGGTTATTTCCAAACGAGGAAATGATTCGGGAGATGCTGACGAGGAGCTGGAAAATGGCATCACAGGTGCCGCTGTGCGACATCACGTGAACATTGCAAGAGCAGGAGCAGCTGTGATGGCGGTTGACTTCTTTTCGTCCAGAGAACAGTGCTTGCACACTGCTCTCGCATGTGATAGAGACCGAACAATATTGACTGGTGCTTTGTCACGGCTGGATGCAAATGAGGTATGCTCTGCGGCCTCTGCCATGTATGGTCAGTCCTTTGAGTCACATTCATTCATGTCAGCAACAAAGAAAGCAGCTTATTGGATGTCGGGTGTGCTCCCTTTGCCTCTGAACGCTCTTTCTGCCCTCCACCCTACCCAAGTGACAATGGGCCTCACTCCACTACTTGCCAAACGTGCAAATCAAGAATGAATCTTCTCCTAGAACAGCGAAAGGTGCACCAGCATATTTTTTGTCTCTTGTGCATGTGGACAGTAGTGGAGCGAGGCCCAGTGCCTCACTGACAGCTTACAACACAGCAAACCAGTGGCATGCTCCTTTTTTTCTGTCGAGTCCCTTGGCCTTGTCTTGTCAGTCACTCCACGTTAGAAATTGCTTGTAGAAGATTTATACAAGCTTAGGCCGAACATCCCTAGGTGCTGGATATGTGGACAAAAGGGGTTGTTTTCAAAGCTACCCCACCCGAAACAGCAAGCCCGAGACTTGAGAGCGATTGCCACCATGACGGGACTTTCATCACTCGATCGTCTGACACATAATCAGACATGGTTGATCGATGTGGTGAAGTCATGCGGCGGAATTTGGATCCTGGAGGACCTTTGGTTGCATCGACCTTGTCAACATCTGATGCCTTTCAGGCTCTATCAGTAAGGGATCGATGACCTGACAGTGTAACCAAAGATCCCAAATGGACTAAGTTGCTCAGGGAGGCCCATAGTAAGGGATACAAGATTGGCCTCTACGGTGAGCATGAACCTCCTGCTTGGGGTTTTGGGGGGCTGGTGAGGTTGGATGGGGGGAAGCAGCTTGTTTTGTCGAAGTCCCAGGGATGGTTTTCTGGGGGGTGGGTGAGGTCGGAGGGAGGGAAGCAGGGTGTTCTATCGCAGGCCTGGGGATCGGGTTTTGGGGGGTGGGTGAAGTTGGAGCGGGGTCATGTGGCTGAACAGAAATTTATAGTGCCAATGATGCGGGGTGTTCTGCCACATGACCGCAGAAATTTACAGTGCGAATGATGCGGTTCGAGTATTATGCCGTTATCGGTTGAGCACCATCGTTCTTTTTTTTTTTTTTTGACCATTTCTCCATTTATTCCGTTACCAGCCGAGCACCAGGGTTACCGGCGTTTGGGACGGGCCGAACGCCCGAACCCGAACGCCCGAACGTACGGGACCCCTTCGGGAGGCGTTCGGCCGTTCGGGCCGAACGCGGACCAAAAAAAA